GGGGGGGGGGGAGGGCTCCAGGCTCAGCAGCAAGCAGGAGTTGTGGGCTTCTGCTGCCTCAGCAGGTTTTGCTCTGCATCCCAACGGCACGGGACAGCTCTCACTGCAAGATGCTGCCCATGACTTCCGCCCCTGTGAGCGGGGAGAGGGACGTCAGCAAAGAGCAACCTGTGGCTCAGGAGCACTGGACAGGTCTGACCTTAAATCAGTGAATGTACTCTTAAGAGATGATCAGTTTTTCCCTCTGGAGAGTCCTCAGTTCAGGCATTTGAGTTCAAGTGGCATCTTCCCTATCCTGGTCTCATTCTCCCATTCAAGCCCCGGAGATCTGATATCTGTGACATCATGATTTTGTTTGCTACATTGGTCAGTTGCCATGGAAATAGATATGTCGTCGTAGCCCAGATTTATGGCATCCCTGCAGGATCAGCTAAGAGCAGATGGGCTATGAGGGAGTGAGATTTTATTGCAGCGAAACTACCCGAACAATTAGCAAATCTGGCAAGAAATAAACAGAAAGCGACGTGGCAGTTCTGTGATGTGTGTCTGTTCAGCTTGAAATTGCCTTCAGCATTCGGGTCAGCCAGCACGCAGCCAGGTCTTTATCGCTTGGGCTGCTCCCAGCGCAGGGCCAGACGCTGCCGGAGCGGGGGACAGGGGGTTGCAGCAGGGTGAGGAGGGGGAAACGTGCCAGGAGTCACCAGAAGCGCCCCGAGGTGCCGTGTAGAGGTATTTCTGTATTTTATAGAGTCTGGTACCTGCCATGGTGGACCCCAGGACTCAAAAAGCAAGTTACAGATCGTGGAAAACACACCAAATGTTTGCACATCGAGCTTGCTTCTAGACTTCTACAGGAATGTTTTCTCCTGCGTGGAAAAATGCCTGGTGCAAGCAGCCCGCGTGAGGTGGCAGGGGACAGGGACAGGCGCTGCAGAGCCGGCCTGGCACAGCTCAGGGAGGGAGCAACAACCAGCACAGAGAACTGCCATGGGCTCCCACACGCCTCGGGAGGCTTTCAAATCGAGATCAGACGGATGCTTTCCTGGGAGACGCTTCTTCCCCGTACGCAAGCTACCGAGCTCAGTGCGGGAGCGCAAGGGGCTGATTCACAGGCAGCAGCGCTCAATTAGTGCCCACCTCTAGTCCCAGTCTCGGAGAATGAAATGCCAAAGATCAGCACAGCGCTGTCAAACAAATCCGAAGACACAGAGAAGGCAACGTGTCCCCCCTACGGTGTTTCAGATCGCAGTTACAAACACGACTCCGTTAATTTATTTCCTACTTGGCTAAAGTAAAACCAACATGTAAAGTCAGTTCCTTGCGGAGAGCTGTTTCTTTACATTCAGCCTGGAAAAGGCTTTCTGGCATTTAGGAAAAATGACAGGCTGAGAAATCAACAGCTGTAAAGGCTGAAAATGCTCACAACATTGATTAGAGCTACACGGACCTGATGGGATTAATAAAATTTGTGCAAAAACAATGACTAGAGCTTCTCAGGCTCATCCGCCGTGTCAAGATACACGCCGTGCCGACTCCAACAGGTCAGCAGAAGGTTGAGCCCGCTCCCAAAGGAACGGCACCAGAGGTCCTGGCTTCACCAAGACCACAACTTGGAGGGGAACAGAAGGGGGTTGACACTCAGCACTGGCTTCCTTTTGTCCCCAGCCATAACCCCGAGGGGAAACCGGGGAGAAATCCCTGCTCCTTCCCCTCCTGCTCCCTCCCAGCTCTCTCCAATTTGCAGGCTCCTGAATGTTAAGAAATGCTGGCAACATGCCCATGGTGTCAGCCCAGCCGGCATCAGCCAGGCTGCAGTCAGGAAGGAGTGACACTATTATTCTTTCACCGGTTCTCCTCTGTTTAAAAAAGTTGTCAGCTCTTCCCAGATAAATTTAATTGGCCCTGCGGTCTGTGTCCTTCGGTATCTGGGGACCTCGATGCTGTTATGTGCAGTGGTGTCCTGGGAGAATTGAAACAGGCCAACGATAAGGCACTCAACAATCTCACTGTCAACAATACACGGAGTCCCCGCTGTAGGAGCTATTAGCTGCCTCTGATCTAAACCTCCAATTAAAGTGGTGATTAGGCCCAGTGAGGCATTCTCCATCCATGAATTATTCATCTCCCTTCACAGTAACAGCACCAGGGGGATTAGAATGAGAGCTGGTGAAAACAGAGGCATTTTAAGCAGGGTTTTAACCATATACAAGCAAACATTTATCTTTCAAATCTTTCATCTTCTTCTGGAAATTAAAGCCCCCCCCCCCCC